TAGAAGTCAGTTTCACAAAAAGACATGTTATGACAATATAAATTCCCTTGAATTTTCTTCCCTTGATTGATTTCCCTCGCTTCTCTTATTGTTCCTCAACCTGTACTCTACTCTCTCCTCTATGTTCTGTTTTCTGGACTTATGATATCTCCTCTTTTACCTGGTTTTGCCCTTTCGCTTTCTTTTTGTTGTTTTTCCTCTATTTACTCTGACACACTACCTCTGACTACTAAAACTACTCAACTCAAGTTTCTACCCCCCCTTCCACGGCAGCTATTGTGCTGTAGAGAGTAGAGTTCACCATGGTCGGAGATGGTTGCTTATATTATTCCTGTATGGGATGCTCCATAAACTAACCGGTTTTCTTTTTTTTATTACATTTGTTTATCTCATGCCTGTGGATTTTGGAGCTTTTACATATGGATCCTTTATGATTGTTAAGTACGTTCTCTTGCTTTGTACCAAGTACTATAAGTTCTTTATCTTGCTGTTGTGTCAATAAAATGTTTCAATTATAAAAAAAAAAGTATATTCAACGCCAAACCTTTTCTTTTTTTTTTTAACATCTGGTCCGCTTGGATGTAAATGCTGCAGGTTTCAGTGCTGCAGTTGTGTGTCTGTCCCCCTCTTCTCCAGCCCATTCACAAAATACACGCCACATGCTTTGTATTCTGAATGGCCAGGAGAAGAGGGAGGCAGAGACACAACCATAGCACTGGGGACTATGATACCTGCAATGCTTAGATGTGAGTGAGACAGAAGTACACAGGGAGCTGTACTAATTCTGGCATGTAAATTAACAGATTTCCCAGTTGTCGGATAAAGCCAGCATGATGGGGGGTTACTATTGTGGCAACAGAATGTGTACCAGCTTTAACCAGGGTAAGCTTATTTTGCTCGGAGTTTAGCTTTAATTAAATTATGTTGTGGTCGAGCAGAACAGCTAACACATTTTGTGGACTTTCAGCACTCCCCCTTCATCAGGGAGTCAAAATGACAAACTAAAGATAAAGTGCTGCTTGAAAAATTGCTGGATACATCATAGCTCTAGTGCAAGGGTAGGCAACCTTGGCACTCCAGCTGCTGTGGAACTACAAGTGCCATGAGGCACACCAAGACTAGCAGTCACACACATGACTCCCAGAGGCAGAGACATAATGGGATTTGCTTATCCCTGCTCTAGTGTGTCATTTGGACTCCCTAATGAAGGGGCAATGCCAAAAGCCCCCAAAGTGCATTCTGCTTGATCACAATATGAATTAAAGCTTTTTGGACTCATTGGCTATTGGTTTGGTGCTTTTGTTGCATTTCTTACTTTCTGAACAAAAAAAAAGCAGATGGCCTTCTAATCCTTCCCTACTCAACCCCAAAAAAAGATTTTTGCTTTATATGAACCTTAAAACTCAATAGTTTTAGGGAAATACAGAGGTCAAATTCCTTTGTGCATATATTTATTAATGATAAGGAACTCTGAATTTATAAGGTTGCTATCGAAGGACGGATTTTTCTTTGAGATTGGAGAGCAGGGAGTTGCCTGCCTCTGCTGGAAGCAGTCACCCCAAAGATGGGAGCTATTGCGATATTTGTATGTAGGAGCATGCAGTGCAAGTATTGTGCTTTTCATCCTTCTCTCTTCCCCACGAATGGAGGAAGGATGGGAAAAGATGGTAAAATATGTCCCAGGGTGACATTTAAACACCTATCACAGTCCGAGGCAGTTACATACATAGTTACATAGTTAGTCAGGCTGAAAAAAGACACAAGTCCATCGAGTTCACAGTCATTCTGATGGTCTCAAATGACTGTCAAAATCAGGAGTTTAATTTGCTAGTATGAGGTTATTCATGGTCACCATTACTCATAACAGATTGTAAGCCCTCACGGGCATGACCCTCCTTACCGTCTTGTCTTGAATTGTATTGTAATGTCTTCTTTATATTGTAAAGTGCTGTGCAAACTGTTGGCACTATAAAAATCCTGTATAATAATTATAATAATAATACCAGCTATTTGGGTGACAAATCAATGCCAATGAAATGCAGCGAATGAGATTGTACAGGCAAAGCAACACCCATATTTTTGGTATGTCCTACATTCCACAGGTTACATATTACATATGCAGTGCTGATTGTCCTCATAAAACATTACTTGAAATCAGAAAACAGAATTTAAAGCGTATCTAAACCCAATAACCAAAATGTAATATATTGCAGCTCATTGGTCCTTATATGTGATGGTTGCATTAGAATTCTTTTTTTTTCTTCTTTTTTTTTCACCTGGTGATCCAGCCAGTAACACATTTGCTGTCTTAGGGTGGCTCCACCCAAAGGAGGACCAATGGAGCTACCCTTGGACAGCAACATTGTCAGCCTGTGGGGAGGGCAGGGTTAGATGGACAGGCAAATTTACGAGGGGCGGCTGAAAAGTTCTGAGCCTCATAGATGAGCTTGACTAAAACATTAAATCTAGACTCATAACGTGTTTTTTAAGCAGTTACAGCAACAGTGGTATTTATATTTTTCCTTTTGGGATGACTGTTTTACATAAATGAATACAATCAATTGTAAGCACCCCTGTCAGTGTTAAGTGGTTTGTCTCGACCCTCTATTTGCCACTTTTGCTGGACAGCTTGGACTATTAATGGAAGCTGAACAATAACAGGTTTATAGTCCGAACCACCAAGTAAAAATAAAGGGGAGAAAAAAGCTAAACACATTTAATGAGTCCACATTTAAGGATTGGTAAACTGCAATATATTACATTTTTGCTTTTGGGTTTAGATATGCTTTAAACAAAACAAATATCACATTAAAGTGTTTTGACTGCAACCTAAGCATTTCCTTGCATATGTTCCACCTCTGACATCAAAAGAAAACATGGTTCAAGGGTAAAGCTCCTTATGATGGGGTCACATAGCAAATGAGGCACCTTTAGACTTTTCAACCACCATCTTGTAGAAAATCTCACTACTGTGATTTGTGCTTTTCTAGGCCAAGGTTAGACAGTAGTAGGGCCCTTTTTGCAGCTGGTCTTCATAGCAGTTGCATGCACCAATGATCTTTATGGAAGTCATAAATTATAGATCATGTTTGTCCGTGAGAAAATGACATGGAACAGACTACAGATCAGCTTTAGGCTCCAGTGATGCCGGTTTTTTGGGACAAACCAGTCTTACTTCTGGTTGTATTTTCTTTCACAAATTAATCTACAGTATTTCTATGCAAAAAAGTAAAAAAAAAAAAAATTCAGTTTTGTGGTTGTTTTAAAACAATTGATGTTATAGTAGATACAAAGTAAACATTTTATTCCTTGACTCGTCCCATTCATCAAAGTACATCACATGGAGAAGTTATTAAATAAAATCAAATAAATCAAAATAATGGTGTTTTGTTTTAACTATTTTTTATGTTACACTACACTGTTACAGTCAAATAAAATGCACCAAAGTGGAAAGGGAGAGGAAGAGATTATTAGAGACCAATTAGGGTTATTGGGAATTTAAATATGAAAATAAAGCTTATTTTTTTTCACTATACAGGTTTCCTGCAGCTGCGATTAAATGAGATCACATAGAACAAGCATGTGGTTTGCACACACAGGCCTTCAGCAGTTAAACTTGCCTGTAACAATTTTACACTGAATGATCATTGTGACTAGCTGTTGCTGTTACCATTCAAGGGGAACCTGCTTTGATTTGTTCCTTCTTGCAGGCAGGAACTTCAGCGGGCAAGGTAGCAGTGGATTGAAGAGGGCCATGTGAGCGATTGTGACCAATGAAGAGGAGTCCATTGACTCATATTAAACATAGGGGCTGTAGGTACTTGCATGCTTGCCCCTTTACTTTCCCAAATACCCCTTGCCCAGGGCGAGTGCTGGAGGGGTACACTTAGGCCTTGTTCACACTTAGACGGCACTGTTTTTGCGCGTCAACAGCACACGGTTATTTGCACGTTTATGCGCATTGTGCACATTTGTATGCGCGTTTTGATTGGCAGCTCATAAAACATTGGAAGAACGCGCATATAAACGCGCAAAAACACTCACGAAAATGTGCAACATGCTCCTGTAGCGCATTTTTGGGCATTTACAATGAAGTTTATTCGGCAAAAGTCGCTTTTAACTGCCCAAAGAAGCTCCTGTACCTTTTCGTGCACTTGGCGTTTTCTGCTGGCGTTTTTCTGCTCAGGTGGGAACCAGGGCCATTGAAAATCATGGGATTTCTTGTGCTGGGCATTTAAAAGTGCTTTTTGAACTGCTCAAAAACTTCTAGGTGTGAACCAAGCCTAAGCAGTTGAACTCTACCACCCTTCTTTATTCTGCAGAGTGGCAGTTGTGGCACGGACGATCTCATTGTTGCCGGGAGGTCCGTTTGGGGTACCATTCAAATGAATGGCAAAGCAACACACCCGCCACACTGTAACGCATGGTCTTAATGGTCTGACTGATATGAATGTGTGGGGGCAGGGCTTGGCTTCAACACTACCTTATTAGAAGGGCCCAGCATATTAAAAATATCAGTTTTCAGTACTCTTAGGCCCCATTCACACTTTAGAGATGTGCAAACGCTGCCACATGAGCGACAAATGCAGCAAGACGAGACAAGAAGCGTTTTTTGACCATGCATTTAACGCATAGGCATGAACACGCATTTTACCAGTCACATTTTGGATGCCATTACCAGTAATGGCACCACAAGCTTGCCTCACGTTTTTTACACATTCATGCAATACTAAAGTGAGAATGGGGATTTATAGTGTCAAACAAACATGCGGAACAGGAGCTCAGACCTTTCAGACATTATTGACTGGTTATGCGCTAGGTAGTGAACATAGGATCAGGATGACCGCCCTAAAGCTTGCACCTTTAAATGTATAAGTCAGCAATGGCAGCTGCCATATTTCAGACGCACAACTTTATAAGGAAGGCTAACAGTTGACATAATGGTTATATGGCGTGTACCTGCCAGACACCTGGGCCATTTCCTGAAAGCCTCCACTTACCCAGATAATTATTGCTCTTGTCAGTCACCCTGATATTAGTGGCACCTGCAGGGATCATTGTCACTTCATTATATCCAAATAGCCCTAAAAATGACAGTAATGAGGAAAAGTGAGTCTGGTCACAGAATGACATTCTCTTTATAAAAGCAAACATTATCATTTCCCCTTCAGGCAAGTCCTTCCCTTGACTGGTGTGTTCTATACAGACTCTCTGACCTGGTACAAAGATTAAAAAAGGGAGGTGCACACACTGACGTGTATATTTGTTTTAGTGGCTATATTTATACATGAATGTGAAGAATTTCATTTACTAACACTGGGAAGAAACGTGATTGTTGTCAGCTGTTTCCAGCGTACCATAGCAAGCCAAGTTTCTTCACACGTACACCTGCTTATGGACATTGCACTTCATCTCAGACAGGTAGCAGGAACAATATGAGGGACGATTGGCAAAATGCTGCTACGTGTTTCAGGTCACAGAGTATTTTCATTGTCAAGCAAAAATAAGCAGACAAAGCAAATGTGGAGCAAATGTAAAAAAAAAAAAAATTAAGGCTCATGTCCAGTTTTTACCCAAATTTATCTTCAAAACTCTATACTCCTCTCTAGAACAAGTTCCAGTCTACCTTATTCCTGCAGCCAAAAACCCCTTCTATTACTCCCAGTAAAATCATTCCTGGGCTTGTAAGGGGCAGCTGCTAGGAGTTCATTACCTTATGACGTATACATGCCCCTAGAACTACACCTCCAAGAACCCTTTCCCTACACCCTTCCCCTATACACATTGTCAAGGCAGCAGCATTGTTTGTAACTGGTTTAAAGGAGAACTATGAGGTGAGTGCTTTTCACTCACCTCATAGTTCTAGCCGACCTGTGACAATGAGACTATCACAGTTCGGCTCAGTAGATCGAGAAGTGAGCGAACACATACCGGCTTTCACTCACTTCTCGATCCTGTCACGGCTCTCTGCCGTGACAGGGGAGGGGCTGGATCCCCCTCTCCCCGCTCCGATCCGCCAGCGCTGACTGGCGGATCGGACGGGGGAGGGGGCGGGTACAGCTGGCTCTGCCTCTAGATAGGCAGAGCCAGCTGTCACTCACGCAGCCGGATCCCGACATAATTGTCGGGATCCGCTTCAGCTGCGGCGTCTCAGTATACCGCGAGCAGTAGCTTGCGGTATACTGTGGCGTCTCAGTATACCGCGAGCTGTAGCTCACGGTATACTGAGCTTAGGGTGACGGGAGGACGCAAGTTTGTGTCCTCCCGTTACCCTAAGGAGAACTATGGGGAAAAGCTTTAACCCCATAGTTCTCTTTTAACTGAAAGAAATAATGCCCCCAGAACTACACTTCCAGAAGCCTTTCCTCTACACCCCTTCCCCCTACAAAAACACCTATAGTATGCATTCTTATTACAATGTGAACATTATAGCAGCATAGGATATGCTGTGACTTTTTTAAAATAAAAATGGTGATAGCTGCCTCAGCCAGAAAAATGCAGGTATTCTTTATGGTTACAGGGGACATCAATTATACCCAAGACTGTAAAGACAGCCAGGACAACATGTCTGCACAGTGTCTGCAAAGAATGTTAACTCAAATACAACTGAAAATATAATGTACATACAGGAAGTGTAATGAAACATTGAAGCCTAAGGCCCAAGTAGAGCCCAGCTACTTCAAATGTCATTAGTACAAGACTACAAGCCCCATGAGGCATTGCAAGACTGGCAGCAACAGACATGACTCCCAGATGCTGAGGCATTATGGGCATTATGGGCTGTTTCACCACAGCTTCCCTGTTGCCTACCCTTGCTCTAGTCACGGTTTGTTCACACGCTATCCAGTGAGTTCCAGCGTGGTTAGTGGCCGGGACACACTGGATCGCATAATTAAATCCTCCCTGCATTCTGGGACGGGAGGGGGCGTGGTGGTGGCATTCAAGTCAATGGCTTGAATGCCACCCGTGGTGCAATCACAAGAAATAGTGCATGCATTATTCTTTGTGATCACACTGCACCATGGGCATTGCTGTGCCACACGCTTTGGATAGGGCAATCACACTGCAGACGGGAGGCGTGGTTGCGGTGCCATTTACTTGAATGCCACCACCACGCCCCGTCCCAGAACGGAGGAGGCTTTAATTATGTGATCCAGTGCATTCCGGCCACTAAACAACAAACATGCTGGAACGCACTGAATAGCGTGTGAACAAGCCCTTAATACTTCAATTTTTTCTTTCCTATTGTATTTATAATTGCTTCAGAATATTCTTCCCTATAGGACACATCAGTCCTTTTCTTTTCATTATACACCTATTGCATTTTAGTGCTCAGCATTCTGACATCAAACTATTGTAGATTTTCATTGGAATCAGGGAGTTGTTCCTTACAATAGCTGCAAATGATATGTGAATGAATCATCCACTACAGCATAGATACAATGTATGTCACACCAGGTTATTAGACTGACAGCCAGAGGAGAGTCTGACATGACAAATAAGTACTGTACAAGTTGATCTATGACAACAATGTCTGGGCGAGGAGATATCACAGACTGATCTATTTAATAGGTTACTCTATGAAAAAACAATTAGATACATGATCTACAATAAGTGTCATATCTCTGTCCGGTCCTGCATTCTAGTCCTGGAGTATGCCCTGAGCTAAGTGTAGTGTGACAGTTACCAGAGGCCGGGTACTTTGTAGTATAGATATTGTGATGGTGTCGGCATGATACGTTTCTTCCTCCACAAACTCCACAGATATCCACCTTCTCATTGGATCCCAAGATGGAATCACAGCCCACTTGCTGCAAAACAACAAAATAAATGTTATGAGAATGTATCTGTTTTGGTAAATGTCAAAAACTATTTGTTTGCACCATCTAGTTATGTCATATCCGACATTTAGGCTTCGTTCAACTTCTTTTTTTTTTACACTTTAAAAAAAAAAAAAGTAAACATCTTTTAACCTCCCTGGCGGTATGATTATGCAGGATTTTAGCATCCCAAAGCGGTACATTGTTTTTCATGGAAATTTGTTGTTTTAATAAATCTTAGGAATAACTCACCTAAATCTGTCCAAACAAGAGTCCAGTAGACATCCCGGGTATGATAAAGTTTGAAACACGAAATAAAAAAATTATAATATAATAAATTATAAATAATTATAAGAAATTATAATATAATAAATAATTATCATTAATTATAAAAAATATAATATAATAATTTAAAAAATGGTCCAGTAAATGAGAATTCTGGGGGCGCTGCCTGATCCATACCACAGTCAATAGTGTACCAAGTTCGCACATCACTGAGCAGAATCGTCGCTGTTTTTCAGTGTCTGATGACGAATTTCCCAACGCATCGCTCAATTCTGCAAGTGATTCTAATTTACTATCGTTGTTTTCTACCTGGTCTAAAACCGCTTTTGACCTAAAGGGACGCTTTTTGGATGCCATGGACGTTCTCAAGTTTCCAGGCAGAAAGAACAGTAAAAGTGCAGGCAGGGCACTGGGCAAAGCTCTAGGGACAAAATTGAAGTGAAATAGTTTGATACATAAATGTAATTATAGCAGATTACATTGTATTGTGTGTATTCTGTGTAAATGTCATGTTTGCACTATTGAATTTCCTGCCGACTCTGCCCCCCCCCGCTGTGACGCCCAAAAACGAAACTAAAACTCAGGTGCCGTGCAGCAGAGGACACCGCGGGCTCGCAGGCACAAGGTAAGTGACACTTTTCTGTGCAATCCCGAGTGTGGCCCGGGGTTGCCGCTATTGATACTGAAAATGAACCCCGAGCCAGACTCGGGAATACCGCCAGGGAAGTTAAAGAGGAACTTAAAGTGACATTAAACCCTCAGATTTTTTAACATAAAACAATACTGTAATGTGCGCCTTACTGTAATCCATGGTTGTTTCCCTTCTCTTTGCTGCTCTTCCTTTTAAATGTGTATCTCTTCTCATGCTGGGCAGAACTTCTGTTTTGCAGCAGACTGCCTTGTCTATGAAATGGATACATGGTGTCTATGTGAAGGTTCACAACCTGAGCCAGCACTACAGGAAGAGGCACTCAGCTACAAAGGGAAGTTCTCCCCCAGCATGAGAAGAGATAAGGATTTAAAAGGAAGAGCAGCAAAGAGAAGGGAAACAACCATGGATTACAGTAAGGCACACATTACAGTATTGGTTTATGTTAAAAAAATCTGAGGGTTTAATGTCACTTTAACCTATATCTTCAAAATTACAAAGAAATGTTTAGTAATGACAATCTACAAACACATACTTCTAGATAATTGCCGGCTTTTTATTTTTTGCATTCCTTATTTCTCTTTTCTTCCCCAGTCTTCTGAAAGTGGCCATTATAACTAAGAGCAGGTTACTAGATCTCCATTTACTTCCTGAAACTCTGGCACATGTGATCATGCACATCATCTCAGAGGAGGAAAATGCCTTTCTCTGGGATCTCATGAGATTACAGATGAGATTTCCAAGCAATGCTCTGCTGATGTGACCTTCCCAGGATGCAATGCTTGGGCACGGTTGCATAATTTGTGACAAAGTGGACCAGGAAGTGCAAAAAAAGAAATTGTAAGTAAAATTAAACATGTTTGTTTAGCTAATGGATGTAAGTTGATTTCATCTCAGCATGCAGAGCTGTATGCTGATGTGGTTTTTAGTCAAACTAAAACTAAAGGTCCACTTTAAACATTTGGAGTGTTTAATGATCGTCCACGCATGTTTTTGAATGTGTTTTTTTCAGGCATATTCAACTTCAAGCATGTTTACAAAGAAAAGCAGAGCCAATTCTTTTGTGGAAAACACTCGACAAATGGGGGAAAAACAAACACTTAAACATGCATGAGTTGCAATTAAGTCAACGAGGCCCAAAACACTACATTTTGCCGAAAAGTAGCTCATAAATTCTTTGCAGCAACAGGAATTCTTTGTTTTGCTACAGGAAACAGAATGCTCAGATGTGAACAGGGGCCATTGAAAACAATGGAAATCCTCTGAATTTTTGAATGTGTAACCCATTCAGCTACAAAAAATGGCTAAGAATTAAAAACCAAAAAAATTTCTTAGTTTTGGATAGTGTGAGGTAAGATTACAACACCCTGTTTGCTTTTTACTGCTATCCAGGGCTCTATTCAAGTGATTTTCCCTTACTTTCTTTACCAATGACAGTGGTTTTACCAGGCAGAAAATCTGCAACAAGGTCACAGACAGATATGAAAATTGAATGGATAAGTGGGTGACCCTTTCCCACTACTCAAAAGTGTTTTCATTGCTGTTTATCTGCACTTTGGAGAGACTTCCCTTCCTTTTCTGACCAGATGACACAAAAGAAAATGAGGAAAAACAAAAGGCAGCAATAATAATCCAGCACACATTGTTAGGGCTCATTTACACAGGTGCAGAGGTCCATGTACCATAAAAAAACAGCCAGATCTTTTCGTCCGTGAGTTACAGGTGTTGTGTAAAGTCCTCCTGTACATAACAATAAGAGGCGGCAGACATTACTCAGAGCATTTACATCCAGGTATGAATGTACATCCTTGGACGCAGACTGCCTCTGTCCTGGAACATACATCTGAACCTGCACAGTTGTACACACCCAAAGCAGCATTTGCCAATGTACGTTCGCAGCCAGTTATTTATTTGTACAGACTGGCTGTATGCAACATCCGTGGCTCCCAGGAACAGAGATCCAAACCATATTTCTGTACACAGACATCTGTGCCCATGTGAATAAGCCAGGGCTGTCCCTATAATGAAGCAGCCCCAGATGGTTGCCTCAGACAGCATCTGTTAATTGCTTGTGGGGGGTGGCAGTTGTGCCTGCTGCCCCCTTTCTGGCCAGAGCATCCCAGGTTTCTAGTTCTTAGCAACTTGTGATGCTCTGGCCAGCATCCTGCCCAGCTCCTGGCATCAGTAAGCTAGGCAGGATGCTGGACGGAAGTAACTTTCACCACGAGTACACACACACACACACCTAACCCGTAAATCACAACCACCAATGACCCCCGCCGTGGCAAAAAATGTAGGGAAATAAAGACCTAATTCTTCCCCAATGTATCCAAAACTGTTATTGACACTGTGTTCTCAAACCTCTGCTCAACCTGAAGCATCCAAATTAAAAAGGTACGAAATTGTAAGTAAGTGAATATTCACCAGTATGTAAAGTGTAGGTGTAGGCTGTGTGCAGGTCAAGCTGTATAAAAGGAAACTATCTCCAGCATTCATTTAGTTCCGTGTGCTCCTATTGTAAGCTCACAATTGGCCATCAGGTACACACAAGGTGCATGCACACCTTCATTCATAGAACAGTGGAAAACACCACAATATCTCATCCTTGTAAAGAAAATATTTCTGGTAACACATGTAATAAATCAGTCACTGCTTCAGTAAGAAATGTGGATGATGTATGAGGGTTGTACCGATTAGCAGAAACAGATGTGAAGGTTTGACCTAGTAAATTAAATGTGGTTGGCATAAAAGGTGAAGGATGTACAGTTAATTTACTGAAGGATATATGGCATTTTTTTTAATAAAAGGTTTCTTGCAAAAATTTAACAAATGCTTCATATAACAAGACTTACCAGGCACTGCCCATTGATGCAAATGCCATCATATTCTACATGGCATGATGTTCCATCCAAAACTCTGCCAAAATTATAATAGAAGTTTTGCTCTTGTGCCAAGCAACTTAGCTCACAGTCTCCTTGTCCTTAACAAGAAATACAGAGGAAGGTTATTTTGATATGTTATTGTCTGAGATTTTGAAAATGGAAAGTAGAAACACATCACTGTTTAGTTTAGAATTATGTTACAAGTGGTATTATGCAATATGTTTGTATAATGAATATCCCAAATCCTGAAGATAGCACCAACCAGTCCAGTAACCCAAGTCCTCTTCTGCTTCTTTATTTTCACGTCATTTCAAATCGTTCATCTCGACTTTGTGTCTGCAGTATGATATTTCTACCTGGGAATGGCGCAATTATCTACTGTCCCAAGACCCCGGTATGAATGTGGGGACCTACAGTGTGTCTTATGTACTAGACACTAGAGTCTCTCCCATCCTCTGGAACTCTTTACCCCAACCTGTCCGTCTATCTCCCACTCTGACTGCCTTTAGGCGAACCCTTAAGAACCATCTCTTCAAGGAAGCCTATCCCACCTCAAACTAACCACTCAACCATCACGTTCTCATACAATTCATTCCCAAACAGCTACCTCCTCGTGTATCACTTGACCCTCCCTTTTAGATTGTAAGCCCTCTGGGGCAGGGCCCTCCTTACCATCTTGTCTTGAAATTGTATTGCGATTGTAATGTCTTCCTTATATTGTTAAGCGCTATATAAATCCTGTCTAATAATAATAATAAAATATAATATATGCTACAGGACACCTTCATGCTACTTTGTCTTTATTTTAAGAACACCAAGCCTCAAAAAAAATCTTTGGAACAACTAAGACTCAATATTCCCATACTCCGAGACCACAAGGGGCTCATTTATAAACCTTCTGTCCAGCGTCAAGCTGTGTGAATGTCGTTTACACAGCATTGCCGCCACTACATGGTGCCGAGAAGCATAGGAAATTACTATGCTCCTCTGTGCCATCCAATGACTGTAACGCTGTGCAAAAAAGCATTCACCCAGCTTTGGGTTCCCAGGTGTCAGTATTGGATACCTAAAATGTATGTTCATATTTACACTTAAACTTACATTCCCATGCATCTATTCTTGGCCTTTTTAAGTACCAAATGTGACCTGCTCTGAAATGTCATTGTTCAAAAAGAGTGTTGACAGCCTCACTCTGGGTCCTAAAATGTTGGGGCAAAAGAAATTCTTTTCATATCCATCAATCTATTGATTCCAGCCAATGCTGAGTCACTTGCAAAGGCTTTTCTTTATAGCAATGCTTATGTAACAAATGATAATGCAGAACTTAACCAATTAATGCCAAGTTATCTGATTTATTTTTGCTATAAGGTTCAATGGCTGCTTTTTATGCTCAGTTTAGTGGTAATCAGGAAATACACTTACATTTGATTCATAGATGGATTTGCCATTTAGCTTATACAGAAAAATGTAACAGGTAGATATATTTACCTGACTGGAAAGGGCTCCATTTGTAATAATTTCCCATTAAAGGCTTACTGTTGAATGCAGAACATTGGAAATGTCTGAAATCAGCCACCCCTGATGGACAGTCCTGCAGTGGAAGAGATTTGTCACTGAATGTTAGACTGCCCTAGAGGTACAGTATGATCTGTAACAGAACACAAGAGAGGAACCTACCTTCGTGTTACATGCTTGGTACTGTCTTGTGTCTCCCAGGCAGTCTGCTCCTGCAGCATCCCTATTGGGAAAAAGCACAGATTATGAATGATAGCAGCACGGGTTAACTTTGTAACCAGAAACCAATAAGACATTATCTCGTTACTGAAATACATCTGAAGATTTGAGAACAGACATACAAATTCTTCTGCTGACAACTTAGCAGGAAAGGACATGTTTTCAGCATATAAATAGGAGGCGTCATAACAAAGTTAGCTGTCTTAAATAATGAGTTTGTCTTACAAAGCGCACATAGTTTGGCTGTGTAAGATAAAAGACATTTATTATATTGCATAATGAAAGTCTTTAAACAGTCCTAAGGCATGCATCATAAAGTGAAACCCAATCATAGACTTAGCAGTAATGACGTATCATATAAGCACTTGAGCCCCCAAACAATAACAGACTTATTTAATAGGCAAAAAACAATATGTAAAAAGGCAGAAGCCAAAACCAACTAATTAGACTTTCATTTCATTAGGTCAGAGCAGATGGAGTGAAACATGATTTCTGTTGATTATTTATGAGTCGTTCTATTCTTGTACTTCTTTGCTTAATAATATTTAATGCATGTAATTGGAGTCTAGCCGGCATGGCAATTCAGTTAGTTGTCACCATCACTTGATGTAGGTCCCTACATTCTGTGTTGGAATATGAAAACCTAGAAATAGAGTTAGCATTCTATTCTGACCTAATTTCATGAATTTGGATGTCCCAAGTAAAATCTGAATTTCCTTGCTACCTTTGGTAGTTTGGGTTCCCAATATGCTTCTGAGAAATAGGGACCAATGCCTGTTTCTGCCTATTATCCCATTTTGCCTGGACAAAAGGGGATAATAGAGGCTGGAGGTTGTTTAAGTCCCCATCATATCATCAAGCAGGACTGCCAGGGGCTCCCCAAACCTTCAAAATTCTGCATCATTTTCTGTTCTCTAACACACACTTTTTTGGAGTCTGGTTTGGAATCCGACTGACTTTAACCCCTTCCTGAATGATGATGGGATTATCCCGCCACGATCGTTCAGTTTGTTAACAACCGGTGACGGGATAATCCAGTAATTTGGTACAACAAGTGCTGGTCCGTGAAGGATTGTTCGCCGAGCCATGACAGTAAGGCTCTGTTCCCACTATGGCGTTTTGTTGCACGTATTTGTGCGCGCTGAAATGCACAACAGAAAAGAATACCATGTATTCCTTTAGCCCCCATTCACACTTAAGTGTAGAGTCATGCAGTGTATTCTCCTCAGAGATACCAAGTATCAAAACCCCTGTAAATAAGAAAATAACCCCTTAGTGTCCCCTAGTTTAAAAAATAAAAATGTGAAAAGAAATAAAAGTTTTTGACATTTTTAAAAATGTATAAACAAAAAAAAACGAAAAAAAACAAACGTTTTTAAAAAAATTAAGTTTAGTACAAAAACTATAAGAAGATATAGTGCAGAGGAGGCTATTAAAAGATAGGAGACAAATATACCACATGCTAAAATTGTTCCACACTCAAATTGTATTTTACACCTTGTATTATATGACCTAACACTCCCAAAATAAACTGAAATCCCAGACATATGATATACCCTATAATTCAGAACAAATAAGATAATTTCAATGAATTACTTTCTGTTAGCTACACCAAGTATGTATACATTATTATTGCCAAAACTGTGAAAAATTAGTTCTTTTGTGTTTTTTATTAAAAAACATAATTTCTAAATGCATATGTCACATCAAATTAAAGCCCATTTTGTCCTTTAACAATGGTATATAATATGTGTAGGTGCAGTGAATGAGTAAGATGGAAATTATGGTTAAACAAACAAAGCAAAAATTGCTCCGGTCCCCAGAAGCAAAAACATTTTCTGAAGCTGTGTCACCAAGGGGTTAAAGGGACTTGCAAAAATTGTGATTATTAACAAGGCTTTTTGATTTTTAACAAGAAAAGGTCCTCAAAAATTCGATCCTGGGTAACAATCTGTACATTGGCACAATCCCAGTAATCATTTTCTATTATTACCCACGGAAAAGTCATTAAAAAAAAAGAAGGTTTTCCTGTGTTGATCAGAATAAATATCATCATATACCTTACAATACAATGCCGCGTGCGCACTGCAGCTCCCCCTCCACATGTCCGAGAACAGGGAGACCAGCTTTGCCATGAACCCCACTCATTGCTGGACCTCTGTGGTAGACTGTGTTCAGGGCCAAAATTGATGACTGTTCCTCTGTGAAATAACGGCCTTTGAACCTGTTAACACAAAAGAATGAGTAAAGCTGCAACCATTATTATTATACAGGATTTATATAATGCCAACAGTTGATGCAGTGCTTTAGAAAATGGAAAGACCGTATAGTTACTATCCAAATTCAATACAGGAAGGTCAGAAGGGCCCTGCTTGTAAGAGCTTACAATCTAGTAGGAGGGATAAGCAATGCAAAACATATTAATTGTGAGGGATGAGCTGGAAGAAGAAGTACAGTTATTATGTCCAGGTGCCATAAGCTTCCCTGAAGAGATGAGTTCTCAGGGATTGCCTAAATGTGGACAGGGTAGGAGAGAAAAGGACAGATGGGTGGTATGGAGCTCTAGAGGATGGAAGTGGCCCTGGAGAAGTCCTGGACGCGAGCATGGGAGGAGGCGACGAGGGAGCTAGAGAGCAGGAGGTCTTGAGAAGAGCAGTGAGGATGGTTTGGGTGATATCATGAGATAAGTTGGTTTCGTAACTTGGGGCAGAGTTGTTGGTGTCTCTGTAGGTTATTGTTAGTATTTTGGATTTTATTTGCTGAACAAGTGGGAATAAGGTATACATATACATATCTGAATGGTTGTAGAACATGAAATTTTATTTTTAAACTGGATTCCACCGTTCGTAATCAGTGGAAACATCTGCCTGCAGAAAACAATAAGCAATCCACACATGACTTATATTTGTAGTTCCTGCCTCTTGCAGCTTGCTGTCATTATCAGCAGCAGTACAGGTTATCTAGCCCCCGGGGGTATGCAGTAGACCCAGCATAGAATGAGGCCAACGGTGTTTACATATATACTTAACATTGTGAACATGTGTATGGTCTGCCTGTTCCATCATTCATTTTCTGAAGAGTTCAGCCTTATCACAACAGAAAACAACACTCGTCTTGTGTTTCCATACCTTGTAAAGCATGGATTTGCAGGATGACAAGCCAACAATAAAAACAGCATGTTGGGACAATGAATTAGTGGCAGAAAATGAATGAGGTGGTAACATCAGCTTTATGCACCACTGACAGAAAAATCAGTCTCACACTCAGCTTGCTCTATGACAGTTCAACAATATGCTCTGAGTGCCACAATATATACAGAGGAAACAAAGAACCTGGCAGCAGATAGTACTCACCTGTCCAGTTTCAGGTTTACTGTGTATAATACTCCAAATAATGACATTATAGAGCACCTCTGTGACTCTCTATAGAGTGGGGACACAAAGAACACACAAGAACCTATTCTAGAACAGTAAACAGTAAAATTCCTCTGTCATTTAAGAATTCAAATCTTTGGATGTGTTTAAATAATAATTTTTAAGAATGTATGTGCTCATATTGCACGGATATTGTTCACTTATGCAAGTCACCCCTGACAATAGCCTAATTACAGTGGAAAGGACTAGTATAATAGCTAATTAATCTTTATTATTCTCATATACTGTAGAGCTGAGACCACACAGGGGCAATAAAAGTGGGTATATGACTAAGTGGCGAGAGACACCACTGATAACCAATTGCGATGAAGTGCAAGTCTTTTCACCCTATACTCAGGGCAGCTGGCAGATCTAAAAACAGATAAATGCATACTGGAATTGGTAGCATAAGCCCATACAGGGCCACACTCCAGGCACAAGAAGACTGATGTGACCCCAACAACGATTAGATCAGTTTTAAAAGAAAATATTCTGTGAGCGGCAGCTCTCTGGGCAAGAATACCTTGTTGATGCCAGAGGTCAGAGGAGAATGGGTAGACTGGTTCAAGCTGATAGAAAGGCAACAGTAACTCCAATAACCACTCGTTACATCCGAGGTATGCAGAATACCATCTCTGAGCACACAAAACACATTGAATCCTAAAGCAGATGGGCTACAGCCAGAAAAGACCACACCGGGTGCCTCTTCTGTCAGTTATAAACAGGAAACTGAGGCTACAGTATTTGGCGTACACAACCTGAAAGCATGGATCCATCCTGCCTAGTATCAACGGTTCAGGCTGGTGGAGCTTCACATCACGAATGTGCAGCAACTGTGTGATGCTATCATGTCAGTATGGACCAAACTCTCGAAGGAATGTTTCCATCACCTTGTTAAATCTATGCCACAAAGAATTAAAGCAGTTCTGAAGACAAAAGGGATCCAACCCAGTATTAGCAAGTTGTACCTAATAAAGTGGCCAGTGAGTGTATACCCACCTGAACCACGATCCTGCCTTGCTCTTAGACTGGCCGCTTCAGCCTCACTCCCTCTGCTTTAGCGGTCTAAGGTCCTGTGAGTTATCACATCCTATACAGGACATCAAGGAACATAGGGTCATACCATTGCTGGAGTTGAGGAGGAGCCAGGATCGCAGTTTGGGTGGTATAAACTCTGTTATTTGAGCTCCCTGGACAAATATGAGCACTTCACCCTAGGGGGTAGCCCCAATGCAAGGGATAAGATTTGATTTTCCTGGAGTTCTGTTTAAATAAATAGTTTTAATCCTGGTTCGGTGGTCTTACTTATTCACGAAATAATTAAAAGTAATTGGCTATTCGTGAACAATATTTGGACCATTTTTTTATATAGGTTTAAATTATTATTATTGTGTATACAGCTTTTTATGTAACTGTCAGATATTTAATAAACCAGTCAGGGAATACAAATGGAAACGTTGCTGCTACCCTGTCCAAAAGTCTACTGAATTGCCACCAGCTATGCTTGAATGTGTCAATCAACCAACTATAGGGCTGTGTAGCCACCAAAGCCACATGTCCCTTTGCCTGCCTCTCTTTACAGTCACAAGGTTTAGTAATTCCTATGATAAGAGGAGTTCTTTGGAACTCAAGTGCTTTCAGTAAATGACATATCATGTCAGCCAATACATTTATGAAGGGAAGTCTTGCAATTACCGGATCAAATTCTTCAACTCTAAAGTCAAAGTTGTTTATTCCAAATCCACAGGTCACCTGGATAGTGTGAAGAAAAAAGGTGGACTTTGACAAGATTCCGATAGCCTTGCACTTTGTACCGTCTATAATGTCTGAGAGCTTCAAGAGGATGACGACGTGCACACTTCTCAAACAGCTCTTTGAATTACAAGCAAGTCTGCAACCAGTATTTATTTTCAAGGTGACCTTCTGTCTATGGATATTTATAGAAAGTGTTTAGGTGCTTCGACTTTTAGATAGCAGAAGAATTATTATTATTATTACCCACAATAACTACAAACCCTTGCATACTTGTATCCTTTGTGCATGGTCTGCAAAGCTTCTTATATTCCTCAGTTGTGCACATGCTGTTACGTCTAGCCACCTGCAAGGACCCTCGCTCTCCCTGCTGGATTTTATACCTGTGATCACACAGATGGGTTGATCTACTAAAAGAATGGAGGCCATGTAAGCTGGCTACATGCTCCGGTTCGGTTGAACGGGACAAAATTCGCTCAGTGGTTGGCTCTGTCTTTTTGACTGTCACCTGGTGTACTTCAATTGAAAAATCGAAGGAGCTGGGTGGAAAATTGTCAAACAGCACCTGCATCTAGTCAGATACAGGCACTGTTTGGGTATTTTGACAACTGGCAGGGTCAACTGTCAAAATACAATAGCCGCAGTGGGTTGACTGCTCTAGCCCCACTTTTTAGCATTGACAGAGGAATTTGTTCAATATTTACTGTTCCACATGAAAACACTGTATAACCAACTAATCTTGACCCAAAAGTGGGTCGCGACCTCGTGCTCAGTGGGTCGCCGCATGCCTTCAACTTTTCTAGGCTCCTCTGCCTCCCCCTAGCGCAGCATTGTCAGTTCTCACTCCAAGCAGCTATTCAAAATATGCTGCCTGGCATCGAGTGTCAGCTTGAGGTGCGGTGGGCTTGGGGTATGGCCGCGAGGGAGCTCCATCCATATGTTTATTGCTTACAGCTCCCTCACGTGTCCTATAGGAGGTCCCTGGACCGGAGTGACATCACATTCTGGCTCCCGACACTTCTAAAGGGCACGCAAGGGAGCTGTACAAGCAACGCATGTATGGATGGACCTCCGTCACAGCACAGCAGCCCACACTGGACCCCAGGCTGAGGATCCACTCCAGTTCTTGTAAGGTAAGGAAACTGGGTGGATCTTAAAAAAAAAGAAGTAAATTTTTTTTGGAGTGTGTATGTGTGTGTTAGAATGTCTGTGAGAATATGAGATTGTGTATGTATGTCAGTGTTTTTGAGGGCCCATTCACACTAGTACTGTGCATTAATCGCATAGTACCATGTGATTAACGCACTGTACCACACAATCACACCTACCGTGCATTCTGTTGTGGGAGGTGTGTTTCCTTACCATTCATTTGAATGATACCCCAAACGCACCTCCCACCCACAGTTGGTACGCCTGCACCGGAACGCACGGTACCCTAATGCTGTTCATTCCATTCCAGTGCGATTTGGGTCGTGACTTAATGACCAAGGACAAATGTGGGTCCTGAGGTTACACAGGTTGAGAACCACTGCTTTAAATAACCAACCAGGTCTGAGGGAAAGAAGCAGATGTTTGCCAGTGCAGGATTGGCTGATTGAAGTGATAACTTATTTACTAAGCTCAATAAACTTTCAATTTTCAAAGTGAACAGCCTTTACCTTAGTAAAGCGACCCCAGAATGTAGTCAGAGTATTGAGACACCACCAGTTACAGCAGTGAACCTGTGGAGGAACTAGTCCAAGCAGGGAGAATGGAATCTTCTAAACAAAATCTACCTTAAATCAACTATCAATTTGTGACGTAACCTTTAACCCTGTTTTAGGATATCATCTCATTAGGAGGCCAATAGAGATTGTTCACTTTGCAAAGGGAATGTACACTTAACTTAATGAATAGGGTGAATCTATGTTTACTTTAAATGTCCAATTATATGTTAGGGAAATGATAAAAACAGGGTTTTTTCTTGCACATAATTGGCTGAATAAAACAAACATGCCTTCGCCTTATTTTAACAAGTGAATATTCTCTATTACTTATTAAATCAACTCCAATGTCTCATAGCAAAATCTGTGGTAGTGACAAAGCTACAATTGTCAAAGAACCAAGATGCATATTAAGGTGTACAAAAACTGGTTACAGTGCCCTTGGTGAAAGTTGTTACAGGACAGTGCTGCCTTAGCAGCTCACAGAATAATGATATTGTGGAACCTGAACTGACATCTCAATAGCATGTAAGGTTGTTTCTTTTAGAAATGCATGGCTGGGCAAATATAATACAAACACAGCAATAAGAGTAAGAAGGAGCTCTTAATAAACTCTAACTATAAATAATATGTGGCCCCTGAAAAAGGGGGAAGTATTCTTGCCAAATTGATGGATCAGGATCTCATTTACTGTACCTGGCAGAAAGTTGGGATAATATGGAGGAACAAAACCGCATACAGAGTAGCCAGACATTGATATATCAACCTGAAGGGAAAAACAAGGGAAAATGTAAATAAGTCTGCCCAACGAAAATTGTAGATTATAATAAATGCATCTATAAACACACTCATTCAGCACAAATACATATTTGTTTTAAAACATCAGAAATATGCTGTGTTTTAGTGCGTTTTAATAGAATATACCCCATTTTGCTGTGCCTTTAATTATTCTTTTTTTCGTGCTGAATTGAGTGTTGGGGAATTTTTGTGACATCTAGTGAATTGGCCCACCCATATGGACCATTTCTTTGCTAAGTAAAAATTGATTTAAGAGGCTGCCAATGCTTATTTTGTTGTATTTGATGCAGATATACCGGCGGACTTTAGGTTTGAGCTTCTGGTGTGTTGCTTTGAGGCTATCGTCATTGTAATCCCACTCTCTCTTAGGTGTGGTTTGACTTTAGGGGTCCTATACTGCAGAGGTGCCTTTGTGTGGCGGTGTGGCTTTAACGTGAATTTACAAGTGTAGCAATAGAGATCTCTATTTTTAATCTATAATTCATTTGTTTTTGTGCGGGCTATGTTGATTAAGGGCTGAAAAATGTTTGTGATGTTTACTGGTGTTTGACACACCTCTGCAGAAAAATGCTCAGAAAGGCAAAAAAGAACATGCTAAAATACAAAAGAACAGTGCAAAATGCAATAAGTATATAACACAATAATGCAGACATCTCAACTCTCCCGGATGTTCTGGGAGTCTCCCACTATTAGATAGCGGCTCCTAGACACCCGGGAGAGAAACATTTTCTCTCGGAAAGGTTTACTTTGCTCTATCTAGCAGAGTAAACTTTTCCGTGCTGTCTTTTTTTTTCTGACATCAGGGCCACTGGCCGCCGTCAGTCTGAAAAAAAAAAAACCTGGCATAGGAACTAATACCTAGATTGCTATTGGCTATTTCAATTTGCAATAGCCAATAGCAGACTAGCTATTGCACCCGCCCACTGCTGCTGTCAATCAGCTCCATCAGGTGTAGCTCTGCTGACTGACAGCAGCAGAGGGCGGGTGCAATAGCCAGCTTGCTATTGGCTATTGCAAATTGAAATAGCCAATAGCAATCTAGCTATTAGTTTCTATGCCATTTTTTTTTCTTCTTTTTCCTGATGGCAGCAGCTGTCAGAACACTAAAAAAAAAAAACAGCAGAAAGCAAAGAAAGCAAAGAGGGGGGGGGGGGGGGGTTGGGGAGGG